GTGGGTACAGCTAGTCGGGTTCGCAAAGCGATGCCCGGAAACCACGGTTAAAAAAAAAATTATTTTGAGAGGCGTTGCACAATATCATTTTTCTAATATTATTTTGCTTAATGGATGATTACTAATACACAATATTTTATGTTTTTTCTATTTATTGGCGAGAAGGTGGTTAGGCTAATGGACGAAGTGGAGTCCTTATTCACACAGCACTTTGCAAACAGTGACAGGAAAAAGGCAATGAAGTTCTTAAGACCCCAACAGAATAAAGAATCTCATATGGTCACCTTTTTTGTTGGTAATTCCTCACTCACCACCCACCCACCCACCCCCTTATATAAAAATAGAAACAAAACAAAACAAATTCAATTTCCCTTCCTTATATGTCTCTCTGGATCCATCTATATGCATATAATATACTACAATGCTAATAAAACGCAGTGATAAAAGTTTGACAATATTAACCAAAATTGGGAATTGAATGAGTAACAACAACAATGGGTCCGGGAAGGTACCTCGTGCATGTAAAGAGGCTGTTTTCGAAAGACCCTCGGGTCAAGAGAGAATTGAGTGAATAATGTATTTATTTAGGGGTGAATATATGTGTACCCCAAACAAATACATTCTTAAGATTGAGTCAACTTAAGATACATTACTAGTTTAAAAAGAAAAATATTTTTAGTAGTTAAACTATAACTAGAGATCTAAAAGAACAATAAACAAAGAATATTTTTTTTTTTAAGTTTTGGAGTTAGAGAGGTTGAACATAATGACTCGTCAACTTATTTTTATCTGAACAAACTTTAGACGAATTACGCCATAATCCAGTTTATTAACTCAACTCATTTTAACTTGCTCATTTGATACTTCTAGCTCAAACTATCACGTCCCTCATAAGGACCAATATTACAATCCGATTCAAGAAAAATACGATACAAAATCATGTTTATATAGTATGATTAAGGAAATGTTAGAAAAAATAACAAACTTTCTTTTAAAAAAAAAAAAAGGTATGCATCTCAACTATAGTTTATCGTTACATTTTCAGAGTTGTCTGCCTTTTCATAAACTAAATAACTTTAATATTGCAGTAAGATTTTGATAGAAACAAAGGTGCATGGAACGTGTAAAATAAGACGAGTGACATGTTACAACATGTTAAATTATACTGGTAGTGTAAAAAATATTTTATATGTATATAGAAGTTAAATTCTAGTAATAATTATTGGTTATGTTACTGGAATTGCAGGGCTTTTCACAGGTTGTTTTGTGACGTTATTTAGTGTATACGCAATATTGGCTCATTTGAGTGGCATGTTTTCCCCTAGAACTGAAGCTGGTTATGTTGAAACTGTTTACCCTATTTTCAGGTACCCTTTTTTATCACATTACTCTCATGTTTTTTCCCCTTTATTCTCAGACTTTATGGATGTCTTTTTCCTCTTTTAGTTTTCCCATTTTTTAATTTGCTATTGTCATTAATTAATATTCTTTCCATATTTTAAAGCATTCGATAGGTTGTGAGATTCAATAAAAAGACATATGGTATGAAAATGACTAGAATGTCACTTTTTTTTTTTGGTATTTATGATCTTGAAAAAGAAAACTTAAAGTTATGGACCTTTCTTTCAAGAGTTGAAAATAGACCATTCACTAAATCTAGGGGTAGGTGCACAACCAACCATTCTTAGGAATGCTATTTAGAGATTCGTCAATACTTATTTTATCATGAAATTTTGAACTAAAACATCTTTACTTCAGGTTATTTTTGTCTCGAAAAATTAAAATGAAAAATTGAAATTCAGGACGCACTGGCTAATTCCTAAATAGCAACCTTTATAGTGGCTACCTAGTGTCATTTCTACCTAAATCTATTAGATATGCATGAACGTTTAGCTAGGAAATTTTTGATAAATGGAATTTAAGGAGTCGAGCCTGTTTGGATTGGCTTAAAAAAAAGTGCTTTTCATCATAAATAGCTTTTAAGCCAAAAAAAAATAAGTTGGGGTTGCCTAGCTTATTGCTTTTGGCTTGTTTTAAGCGGTTTTTAACTTATTTTAAGCACTTTTTAACTTTGTCAAACACCGAAAAAAGCTAAGAAGAGCTTAAGCTAATTTGACCAGCTTAAAAGCCAATCCGAACACCCTCAAATGAATAGTCAAGGTAATATAAGGGAGTAATGCAATTTATAGTTGCTTTCTCTAAATGAATAGTCAAGGTAATTTTGTGTAACAAGTACCTTTTTCCTCTCATAGTTATTCTTTGTTCCCTTTATATCATGTAACTTCCTTTAATAAGTCGAACTAGTTACCTGAAAAATAAAGCAGCTAACCTGCTATAACATGTTAAATTACACTGATAGCGTAAATTTCTTTTAACACTATCAGTGTTTTGTAATGCTAAAGATGAGTATTGTGCAATGTGTGCAGCATGTTTGCATTGCTAAGCTTGCACTTGTTCATGTATGGTTGCAATCTGTTCCTGTGGAAGAGTACAAGAATCAACTACAACTTCATATTTGAATTTCAACCTAGAACAGCTCTCAAATATAGAGATGCATTCCTCATAGGAACTTGTTTAATGACTGCTGTTGTTGGAGCTCTGGTTATTCATTTAATCTTACTTTCAAGTGGATTTTCTCCTAGTCAAGTCGATGCAATTCCTGGAATTCTCCTACTGGTTAGTCACCTAAAGCCGGATCTATTGTTTCTTTACGTCTTCTTGAGCCGAGGGTTTTCCGGAAACAGCCTCTCTATTCCTCTGGGGTAGGGGTAAGGTCTGCGGACGCACTACCCTCCCCAGATCCCATATATGGGATTTCACCCGGCTGTTGTTGTTGTTGTTAGTCACCTAATTAAAATCTTAAACATTTTGCTCAATGCATATGGCTTTCTAATGTTAACGAAGTCTTTTTGAACTAATTCTTTTTGCATTTGCAGATTTTTCTTGCTCTGCTGATATGTCCATTGAACATTTTCTATCGTCCAACGCGCTTCTACTTCCTTAAAGTCATACGTAACATTGTCTGCTCTCCATTTTACAAGGTATTTTGAGATCTTAAAAATCAAGAAATTCGTTGTTATGAATGGTTTTTGAGAACTATATTGATCTCGCCAATATAATGATATTGATATAGGTGTTGATGGTAGACTTTTTCATGGCTGATCAACTAACAAGCCAGGTAACTAACCTTTGCTTTTCAAATATTTTCTTCACATTATTCTCTTTTCAGACACAATCTTGAAAGGTATATCGATGACTTAGTATTTTCCTAACTTAGATTCTGTTTTTCTGTCTTTTAGATCCCATTGATGAGGCATTTGGAATCATCAGCTTGCTACTTTCTTGCTGGAAGTTTAACAACTCATGGACTTCCAACCTGTAAATCCGGACGAATGTACAGAGAGCTTGCTTATGTTATATCGTTCGCGCCATATTATTGGCGTGCAATGCAGGTAAAACAGCTAACTCAAGATTATAAATCACTGCTAAATAATATTCGGATAATCACATCTTTGAGCCGCCCAAAAAAATAATAGCCGGCAAATGTATATAGTTTTGTACATTAAGTATAATATACATGAATATACATACAATATACATATCATATACATAATCAGCGTATATGTTTTGTATATTTAGGCTACCACCTGTAATTATTTTTGGCCGCATGGACAAAAATGAAAAAAAATCCATAATTATTTCCATCTTCCAAAGTTCGGAACATTTACTGTTTTCTGACTGAGCTAACTAGTGTGTTTGTTATCTATCTAGTGTGCGAGGAGATGGTTCGACGAGGCTGACATAAATCACTTGGCTAACTTGGGAAAGTATGTTTCTGCAATGATAGCAGCTGGTGCTAGGCTAACCTATGCAAGGCAACCTGATTCACAGTTATGGTTGGCAATTGTGTTGGTGACTTCAGCCATAGCTACAGTTTATCAATTGTACTGGGATTTTGTTAAGGACTGGGGATTTTTTAACCTAAAATCCAAGAATACTTTGCTTAGAGATGAGCTAATCCTCAAGAATAAGAGCATTTACTATGTTTCAATTGTAAGTCCTTTCTCTTTTAGCACCTTTTTTTTCCCATGCAACGATATCGTATCTCTGAACAGACTTTAAAATTTCAATCATAGGCTTTGAATTTGGTCTTGAGAGTAGTTTGGGTGGAGACAGTGATGCATTTCAACGTTCGATTAATTGAATCGCGTTTACTGGACTTTTGCCTTGCCTCATTAGAAGTTATTCGACGTGGTCACTGGAACTTCTACAGGTATAGTATGTTCCAAATATACTAAAAGTTTTATAAGAAATTCATATTTCTTATTGTATATTTGTGATTGCTTAGGTTGGAGAATGAGCACTTGAGCAATGTTGGAAAATTTAGAGCAGTGAAAGCAGTTCCATTGCCATTTCGCGAGACAGACTCTGATTGCTAGAATAAATTTTTGATCTTTGTTTGGATATCAAAGACATGATTCTCAATAAGAGGCAAGTAGTATTTTCACAGCCACAAATTGGAGGCACTTATCGCTTATGGTGAGAGTGGAAAATCCACCATCATTTATTGATCATTTAACAATGAATTGAGGTATCAAAGTGTTGCCAAGAAAAATCGCGATCAGCTAATGTTATTTTCATGTCAGTTGTATATTTTCTCATTCTTAACTCTAATATGATCAGAAATGTATCTCTGAGATCTATAGTATTCTTAGTAAATATCAAAAGTCTCTATTTCCCTGAATTCTTGTTTCTGCTACCACATTAGATTTTGCTATATCAGATGATTCTTTCATCCAAATTCAGTTATTGCTACAAGCCAACTGCATTGTGTTATAAGCTATGTTGCTCGGACTCTCAAAAAATGATGTTGTACCTGTATCAGATCCTCCAAAAATGCACTACTTTTGGAGGATCCAGCATGTACCCGGCGACATTTTTGACAAGTCCGAGCAACATAGGTTATAAGTAGGAGAATGTTGAAGTTGACACGAAGGTCAAAACACGAATACTTTGTTTATTGAGATCCTCTTGAATCCACTAGTTTTACATATCTCACTGGTTAAAAATGTTAAATTACATGCAAATTACAAATATATGATCATACAAAGAAGACAAGGCAAACAAGTTTGTATTGAAATGGAATATATGTAGAGGACAAATAGAGGACTACTTATCTGGAGAATTTGCCTTCTTTTATCATATCTGCTATTTTCTTGGATAGACAATATGCAGTGGACTGAATAGTGATCATTGGATTTACACCAACAGCACCAGGCAAAACACTAGCATCACAAACAAATAAGCCATTTGCTTCCCAACTCTCTCCATTCTCATCGACTGCGCCATCTTTTTCGCTCGTTCCCATCCTGCAACTTCCCATCTGATGAGCAGAACTATAAGTTGTGAAATTCTTTACAAGTGACTTTGGTCCCTCAGCTGCTGTTACTGTATCAAGAAAAGCCTCAATTTCTTTCTCACTTTTTCCCTTACATTTCATTCTCTGTCCATCGCTACGTTGAGTACCTACCTCATCAGCTCCTGCTGCTATCAAGATCCTTAAAGCTTGTCTTAGCCCTTGCTTCAAACTTTCTTTGTCCATAGCATTGAACTTATAGCTTATTCTTCCATCCGATCTCACTTCCCCCGATCCTACATCTTTAACCATTGCAAACAAATGCGCTGTCCTTGAGTATTTGAGTAACCTATTTTTTAAGTCCTCTCCAGATATCCAAGGACATAAAGCAGCAAATGATCCCGGTCCTAAAGCAGGGGCTTCGATTATAGCTCTTACATTGGAATCATTACTCCCGACTTTGTGTACTGAGGTAATGATTCCTCCTTCATATATTTTTCCCTTGAGGTCTGAATCGGACTCAGGAAAGTATCCCCATGCCATTATAACCGGATGAAGATGGAGATTTCGGCCAATGTTCAGATTTCTCAAACCACTAGAAATCATAAGTGGTGGTGTCAAAAGAGAACCACAAGCTGAAATGGTAACCTTGGCCTCAATACAAATCCTCTTTGTGATATCTTTGTTCATACTTGTTGCAATCACTCCTAAGCATTTCTTGTCTCTTGTTTTTCCAGACTTGTTCTTTTCTAATATGAATCTCTCAGCTTTGCATCCTGTTATAATCACTGCTCCACATTCCACAGCATCCACCAACCAAGTTGTATCAGTTCCTTTCTTCTCACCTCTTCTACAGCCGTAGCAGCACGAGCCACAATAATGATTCTCGGATGAGTTTCGTGCCACGCCTTCAATTTCAAGACCAAGATTCTCACACCCTTTTCGGAGAATTTGATTCTGAAGACCTTCTTGTGTGCAATTTTCTGTCACACCGATTCGTTGACAAACTTTGTCCATAACTGACACATACTCAGGGCTTTGGAAAATTGGTAGCCTTTTATCGTCGCCCCATTCTTGTATAACAGAATCAGGAGTCTTAATGCAGGCTGACCAATTAATCGCGGAGCCACCACCAACTGTTGATCCAGCCATGATCATTATTTTAGCATCCAAAGTTGAGAGTATTCCTCCTGATTCATACATTTGATTCATTGAAGGTCCTTCAAGGGACGAATAGTCGGATTTGTTGAAGTAGTTTCCTTTTTCGAGGACGATAACTTTGTTGCCGGAACTTGCAAGAACACTTGCTGCAACACCTCCACCACAACCTGAGCCAACAATAACAACATCACATTGAACTTTGTACATGTTGTTTTTGGTATCTTCTTTAACTTTTAGGCCTTTTTGGACAAGGGACTTGACTATAGTTGATTCTGTCTCATAAATTGTCTCTACAATTCCCTTCTCCAGAGGTCTTTCCTCAGCTGTTTCTGAATGTTTTTCTTCATTGTCTACTTGATATCCAATGTCATCCCATGCTTGATTTTTAGAATCTTCACCAACCTATGGCAAGAAAAGGACACTCAATTAAGCATTTTTAGCTTGTTTTATGTGGTTCTTTTGTTAGCTTACTTGAATCAAATGAATGTAAATTTATTGAATGTATATAATATCAAAGTAGTCACAAATTATGTCTAAGTTAAGACAAACAATATGTACAATAAATCTACTAGTTAATGATCAAGATTTCCCTTTAAATGAATGGACTGCATTTGAAAGTAAAATAGCTAAACAGAAGAAATGTTACTTAGATTGAATATCAACTAGTACTATGAAGGGGTGTCTTGGAGCAACGATAAAGTTGTCTCCGTATGACCTTTAGGTCACGGGTTTGAGCCATGGAATCAGCCATTAATGTTTCATTATGGTAGGCTGCTTATATCACACCCCTTAACGGGAATGCAGGATGTTTCATTTATTGTACATAAAAAAAAGAAAAGCATCTGTTGCATCTGAAGTACTTTTTTATCAAGAAAACATAAATTAATGGTAGTTGTACCCTATTAAAATCTTGGGACCAAATAATAGATGAGGTGTCTTTTCTAGTGAAAGAAGAAATTGGTCTACGGGTAAATAGTTAATAACACATGACATTGATTGAGAAAACTCCAAAACTAAAGAGTTGTCATTTTCAACCACCTAACTTCTAGAACAAATTATTATTTTAAAAATGATTTTTTTTTCAACAAATAAACAGTGACTATTATAAGTCATGTTCAATGGTCAACAGGTTTAAAGTTGCAAAATCTGGCTTAAGGGCCAATCTAAAATGACTTGATATATAAGGCTATTTTTGCAAAGTCATGTGTTCTAATGTGATTAGCTAGTAAAGAAAAGGATCATTATTCGAAATTAAATTGGGAGAAATTCAAAAAAATTGCCAGGTTTACAAGTGGTCATTCAAAAATAGCCACAATTTCAAAAGTCATCGAAATTTAGTCACTTTTTATGTAAAGATAAATCTGAACTAGAACACTGTGCAAAATCCGGAAAATACTCCAGCATAATATACAGAAATTCCAATATAATATACTGGAACTCCAGTATATTATACTGGAGTTTGGAGTTCCAGCAAAGTATACTGGAACTTCAGTATGTTATACTGGAGCCAGCAAAGTATACCGGTCCAGCATAATATGCTAGAAGTTCATACACAGGTGCACCGAACTCCAGTATATTATGTTGGACCGGTCTTTATTGTAGCAAAATAGTGGCTATTTTTCAATGACTTGTAGAAACTGACTATTTTTGAATGACTAGTCCGAAAACTGGCTAGCCCGTGCTATTTATTTGCAGTTGTTTTTGTTAGAATTAATTTAATAATATTAGAATACCCGTTTCTCTGTACTTGAGTCCACTATTCCACCCAAAGAAAGATCTAAACCAAAAAAAAAACACATATCAAGTGTTTACATTAACCCAATAAATACATAATTTTATTATATTATGTTATTAGTAAATATTCTTAGCTCATTTTTATAACTAGTTATTGTAAACTAATTTAGTTTAATGTAAACATATAAAGGAGCAAGTCTTCTTTCTTTTTTTCAACAAACCATAAGAGGTCAATTTAAGACAAACAAGACTACTTCCTAGACAAACCTTTCATTGTATCATGACTCATGTGGTACTTAAATTCTATTGAAAGAAGCTTCGAAATTAAAAATATTACTAAAAATAAGATGCTTATTTAATAATAGTAAGCCTAATGATGGTAAATAATTTCAGATGTTGACGTGAACAAAGACGGATCCAAAATTTAAATTTTATGGGATCATTTGGTGGGGAAATAAGTTATTCCAGGATCAATTATTCGGGAATTAATTATTTCGGGATTGTTATTCCACCCTCGATAAAATAACACTATAATCCTGGAATAACTAATCCGGCGTAATAACTAATCCCTGGATTACTTATACCGCGAATTTATTCCAACCAAACATGAATTAAACTCATCTCAAATTTAATTCTAAAATTAATTATCCTTTATCAATCGTACCAAACAACCTAGGAGTTCACCTCATGATCCATTCTGTTAGGACACTCAAGCCTAGCTGGCCATTGAGGGAAACCACAGTTACAGCACATATCCCAAGAAAAAATATCAAAGAAAAATGATGAAAAGACAACAAAGCCCTTGAAACAATAAACAGAGAATTTTGAAAAATGTTAAAGAGAAAAGAAGAAGAATTACCTGAGTAAAGAAGATATAGAGACACAAGAATTTGATAAACATAAATGCCAATCTAACTGGAGTTAAGAATCTGTTCTTGAACCATTTCTGCAACACAATCTCTCTTTTCTCCAATGGAATATCACAGAATTTATTAATGTAAGGCCATTTTTGGACAAAACAAAATGATCCACAAAGTAATAATGTTCCAATTCTTGTTGATAGTATTCTTAACAAACCCCTCACCAAGATTATTGCTTCTAAAAAACCCCTTTTCATTACAACCTCTGCACACTGCAAATAATCAAACAAAAATGATCAAACAAAATTTTAAAAAAAAAAAAAAGACAACCCCACTTAGTAGGCATTTGGACATAAAATTCTAATATTTTGAAAAAAAAAATTAGTACTTGGAGTTAAGTTGAAAAATGATATCGAAATTATATTTGGATATTCATTTCACTTGAAAAAATATTGCAGCGAGGAAAAAAAGAATTGAAAATTTTGAAAAATCCACTTTTTGGTTTTTGAAACGCTCATTTTAAAAAAATCTCCAAAAACTTATAAATTTTTATGGACGAACACGTTTTTTTAAAAAAAAAAAAATTGGAAAAAAGAAAAAAACTATAGACAAATGGGTCCTTAATTACTTCAACATTTCACCCAAAAAAGAAAAGGAAAATAAAATAGGGGCTTTTTTTTAGTTTGACTTACCTCATCAGGAATTGGATACTGAGAAGCAGAAGCTTTATGAAGGTATTGAATATTATGGCTATTTTTATCTGGGATTTCATTTTGAGGAAGAGGAGGAAGAATTGTTTCACAAATACTAGTCAAAGTTTCCATTTCTGAAGAAGAAAAACCATGACTATACTTTGTTTCTCTTCTTCCTCCTCTAAGTAAAGGATGACTCTTTTTCTCCATTTTTCTTTCTGTTTTTTTCTCTTATGGATTATTGGTTTTCACTAACTGTTTTTGAAATTTGTAAAGAAAAACTATTGGTATTTATAGAGGTGATGACTTGAGTATCTTTCTTGTCTCTTTCTGCATGAGGAAAGGCAGACAGCTTTACAACATCTTTTTCTTTTGACCTGTAATTTTGTTTCTTTATGCGTTAATTCATTTGGTTCGATTAATTCAGATTTGATTCGATTAGAACTCACGAAAAGGAAAGCAATCTTTTTAAGGAGTTTTGTCTCGAATTGATCAAGACTTACGCTTAAGAGTGGAACTGTGATCCATTTAACTAGTGAAACCTAATAGCATGTTTGATCAAGTTTTTCCGAAACCAAAACCATTTTTTTTCAAAAAAAAAAAAAGAAGCTTTTTTTCAAAGTTGAAAAGCTTTCAGAAGAGAAAAAAAATTGCTTTTGAGTAGAAGCAGAAGCAGTTTTGGAGAAATAAAAAAAGTAGTTTATTTCCAAAAGCACTTGTTTGAAAAATACTTTTGAGAAAAATACACTTAGAAGCACTTTTTGAAAGCATGGCCAAACATTAAATGCTGCTCAGAAGTTCATTTTTAATAAATTAGTCAAACACAAATTGCTTCTTACTAAAAGTACTTTTAAGAAAAATACTTTTCAGAAAAAGCACTTCACAAAATAGCTTGGCCAAACAGGCTATAAGTTAAATGAAGGAAATTCAATTTGAAAAATTATGTTGTGCAGAAAAGAGTAAAATAATTTTCTCTATTTATAAGTTTTTAACTACTCGTGAAGCGATTTACAAATTAATTTAGATCACATATCGAAGTCTTAAATGCGGGGATTCGAAAATGGCTCACTATGTAGTGAGGATACCAATCACTTACAGCTTGTTTGGAGAGTTGTTACACGTCGTTTCATAATTTATTGTATTGTACTGTATTATTTGATAAATACAATGTTTGGATAGATTGTATCATTTGATGTTGTTTCATGATATCACGCACCAGCAATATGAAGAATAAACTTGCAATAATATAAAGAAAAACTATGATACAGGGTAAATTTATTATATAAAAAGGTAGGGTAAATGATAAAATTATTATGAAACAATAAAAGAAGAAGAAGAGTATTGCAGAGAAAAGTAGGGAGAGGGAATTCTTATTGATTTGGGATGAATTGCAACGGAATAGAACCCTCTATTTATAGGGAAAGAGTGACTTAGCCACCAAGTAATAATCCGTAGAATCTCTCTAAATATAGACATTCACCAAAAATAAAATTCTATTTATAACACTCCCCCTTGAATGTCTATTTAACAGATAATGTGCCGCCTTAAAACCTTAACTAAAATAAAACCTAGTGGGAAAAAAATTCTAGTAAAGGAAAAAGAGTAGAAAAAGAGTACATATCTATCAATACGCCTTTTGGTTGCCTCGTTAAAAACCTTGCAAGGAAAACCCAGTGGGACAAAACCTTGTAAGGGAAAAAGAGTGCAACGCGCATTAGCTCCTCCTGATGAGAGCATCAATTCACATCATTGAGCCTTCGCATCCCAATCTTGTACATTAGCTTCTTGAAGGTTGATGTCGGTAGAGACTTGGTGAACAAATCAGCCATATTATCACTTGAACGGATTTGTTGCACATTGATATCACCATTCTCTTGAAGATCATGAGTAAAAAATAACTTTGGTGAAATGTGCTTTGTCCTATCTCCTTTTATGAATCCTCCCTTCAATTGGGCTATGCATGCTGCATTGTCTTCATACAAAATCGTGGGTAGTTTGTCATATTTCAAACCACATTTGTCTCGAATAAGAAGTATTATAAACCTCAGCCACACACATTCTCGACTTGCTTCATGAATAGCAATTATCTCAGCATGATTGGATGAAGTAGTCACGATTGATTGCTTAGTCGATCGCCAAGATATGGCAGTGCCTCCACAGGTAAACACATAACCTGTTTGAGATCGAGCCTTGTGTGGATCGGATAAATACCCAGTATCGGCATAACCAACAAGATCGGGACTGCAACTATTGCCATAAAATAAGCCCATATCGGTAGTTCCTTTTAGATACCGCAATATGTGTTTGATTCCATTTCAATGTCTCCTTGTAGGAGCAGAGCTATATCTTGCTAAGACATTGACTGAAAAAGTTATGTCGGGCCTTGTTGTATTAGCAAGATACATTAGTGCCCCAATTGCACTAAGATATGGTACTTCAGGACCAAGTAGTTCTCCATTCTCTTCTTGAGGTCGGAATGGATCCTTATTCACATCAAGTGATCGAACAACCATCGGAGTACTTAATGGATGTGCTCCATCCATGTAAAACTGTTTCCATACCTTTTCTATGTAGGTAGATTGATGAACAAAAATTCTGTTTGCCAAATGTTCAATTTGCAAACCAAGACATAATTTTGTCTTTCCGAGATCTTTCATCTCGAATTCCTTCTTTAAATAATCAATTGCCTTTTGGAGTTCTATAGGAGTTCCAATAAGGTTTATGTCATCGACATATACGGCAAGTACAACAAATTCCGATGTTGTTTTCTTTATAAAAACACATGGACAGATGGTATCATTTATATAACCTTCCTTTAATAAGTACTCACTAAGACGATTATACCACATACGTCCTGATTGCTTTAGACCATACAAAGATCTTTGCAATTTGATTGAAAACATTTTTCGGGATTTTTGAATTATGTGCGTTAGGCATTTTTAATCCCTCGGAAATTTTCATGTATATCTCATTATCAAGTGAGCCATAAAGGTAGGCGGTAACCACATCCATTAAATGCATGTCAAGATTTTCATGGACAACAAAACTAATCAGATAACGGAACGTTATAGCATCCATAATGGGTGAATATGTCTCTTTATAATCGACACCAGGCCTTTGTGAAAATTTTTTGTGCAACAAGACGTGCCTTATATCTTTGTACCTCATTTTTCTCATTCCTCTTGCGTACAAAGACCCATTTATAGCCAACAGGCTTAACACCATTAGGTGTTTGGACTACAGGCCCAAAAACTTCACGTTTTGCAAGTGAATTCAACTCTGATTGGATTGCTTCTTGCCATTTTGGCCAATCACGTCTTTGTCGACATTCTTCAACAGATTGAGGTTCAAGATCCTCACTATCTTGCATAATGCTAGATACAACATTATATGCAAAGACATAATCCACCACTATATCCAATCGATTCAAATTTGTCTCAATATCGATTTGATTTATTGATAGTTCCTTATTATCTTGAGTCTCAGGCTCAGTGATTTCCTCATGAATCTCGGGATTGGTTAAATCTTGGATTTCTTGATGAGACTCTTTCGTAGTGTCATCTTGATCATTTGTTTTCCTTTTTATAGGATTTTGATCCTTAGAATCTAATGGTCTGCCACGTTTTAGGCGTGCTTTTGACTCATTAGCTATGACACTAGAAGATTGTCCAACGGGGACATCAATACAGATTGGAACATTCGCTGCAAGGATATGTGATTTTGTTATCCTTTTCAGATCCGTAAATGCATCTGGCATTTGATTTGCAATTTCTTGCAAATAAATAATTTTTTGCACCTCTTTTTCACAAATAGAGGCACGTGGATCAAGATGAGACAATGATGGATTTTTCCACAAAATTTTTGTCACGATCCGGATTTCCTACCATCGGGATCGTGATGGCGCCTACTCGTGGTAGCTAGGCAAGCCAACTTATTTACCTTTTCATCACTAAACAATTATTTTAACAATTTATAGCATCAATATAGAACATGAAATTTACTAAGAATAATAGCGGAAGTCTGATTTATAAATCTGAATCAAAATGCGGAACAATTAATAATAGCCTCTACCCAAGATTTGGTGTCATGTTACACACGAACCACTAAGAATAAACTAAATACAAAGGTCTGAAAGAAATATAACAGTTGTCTGTCTCGAAAACAATGAGGCAACAGTCAAAAGGAAACATAAAGAAGAGACGCCGGGCCTGCAGACGCCTGTAAGGCTACCTCAGTCTCGTGAATAGGAAAGTCTGCTCCCGAACTACTGCTGTTGCTGCTCCTCAAAACCTGGACCTGTGCAAAAATGCACAGAAGTGTAGCATCAGCACAACCGACCCCATGTGCTGGTAAGTGTCTAGCCTAACCCCGGCGAAGTAGTGACGAGGCTAGACTGGATATCACATAAACCTGTGCAGTTATAAATATACAGCGAGAAACGAATACCAAGTAATTAACAACATGGGAGGGGAGACATGCTAAGGGGAGATACAATATTAACAGCAATCCAGAGTAACAACTAAAACAGCTTAGGTTCACAATGAACAAAGAATCAATACTCCAATACAAACACATAGCCTCAATAACTGTTGCGGCGTGCAACCCACTTCATAATTACTATTGTTGCGGCGTGCAACCCGCTCCACAAATACCACTGTTGCGGCGTGCAACCCGACCCATATCATTTATCATGTATCATTGTTGCGGCGCGCAACCCGATCCTCACCTTTTACTGTTGCGGCGTGCAACCCGATCCTCAATATCATTGTTGCGGCGCGCAACCCGATCCTCAGTATCATTTAACAGTTCGACTCCCCAAACAACAGTCACAATTAAGGGGCATAAAAAGATAAGTAAATATTTGATAAACATCCCGGCAAGGGAATAACCAACAACGCTTTCTCTTTCTTACTTTTCTTATCTTATAATTCACTCTACTATTTTGAGCCAACGCTCCAAAGAATCAAGTCATTTCGTATAATTTCAATATTCGTATCACAATTCGAGCCTATGCTCCCAGGAAATCAAATGATCATATTACCGTTCACATGTTATTCACAACATATAGAAATTCTCCAATAAACACGGAGTTCACAACCAAGTCATGATAATCACGTTATAAGGACTCACGGTCATGCTAGACACCAATGTATAGATACTCGTCACCATGCCTATACATCGTACTCGATCACATAGCAATTAGCAACAAGACTCAACTCCTATTCCCTCAAGCTAGGGTTAAACCAAACATTTACCTCAAAACCTTGAAATCCACTTAATCCT